AAATGCTGTTCTTTTATTTGATAAAATATCAAATAAATGCTGTTCTTTTACATATATATATATATATATATATATATGTGTGTGTGTGTGTGTGTGTGTGTGTGTGTGAGACATGGTAGTCTTTACTGTCACTTTTGATCAAATTAATGTGTCCTTGCCAAATAAAAAAAATATTTAAATAAATAAATAAATCTTACTGATCCTGAACTTTTGAACAGTAGCATAACAAATCTTTTTGCATGCTGTTGTGATGCATGTGAACATCCTAAATCTATTCTTCTGTACAGCGCAGGTAATGCTGATCATGACACAAACGGAATCACTGGATGACACAAATGTCCTTTACACACACAGATACACTCATACACACAGATTTTCGTGCACATGCTGGGCCTGATGGTTAACAGGCTGCTCAGCTGACCTTTGTGCTTGCCCTTTTTCTCCTTCTTGGCGCTGCCAGTCTGAGGAGTGGAGGTAGGCGGCTTGGTTTTTTTAGCCGAGCGAGGGGCCTGAACCTCTGCTACGGCTTTAACTTCTTCCTGTTCCGCTTCTTGTACTAAACAAGGAAGTGCAGGATGAGCCAGCAGGAGCAGAGAAGATACAGGAGCAGAGAAGAATACAAAAACAAAAAAACAAGAGGAAAATAAAGAAAAGGGTTAAAGTGAATGAGGAGAAGAAAAAGAGTTAGCAAAGACACAAAGCAGAAACAAAGCTTACGTTTTTAGCATACACACAGAAGACGGCTACAAGCACAAAAAAAAACGAAATATCCCACTGCTCCTATACACCCCTGGATGCAATTTTAAATGAAGGGGATTCGGTGGTTGTCAGAATTGTGAAATTCATTCAAAAAAATTAATTCCTTCTCACAGCCTACTTCTTTTAACTGTCCTTCAAGGCCGTGAACTGCTGTGCTTTCTTAAACAACAGATCTAGGAGGATTCATCTGAGTCTATGCACTCATGAAAGTGCATATCACTGTCGGTTTGACGTTTGTCGATAGCTACAGTACATCACTAACACTGAAAGGCATAAAGAGACGCGCCTGTCAGAATGAGAGAAAAGTGATCAATGGTTTAGTTATGGAAAGAAACCACAGAGACATTGACTTGCTATTTTTGAAAAGAGAGAGTCACGCAGAGTTAAGCAATGGAGTTACTGTTTGTTACTCATGCTTTGAGAGACTGAAGACGTCAATTCACAGGTGAGTACGTTCGGGGTTCAGACACACTCTCTCTGTTTAAATCTAGATTAAAGACACATCTCTTTGGCCAAGCATTCAAATAATGCATCTCATAATCTTGTACTGCAGTTATATCTGATCAAATGCACATTATTATTCTTTAGTTTGGGTTAAACAAATCAATTTTGCTTGGTTGGAACAGCAGCTACGCTAATTATGTCTCTATTTGTTTCTCTGTATATATATATATATATATATATATGTGTGTGTGTGTGTGTGTGTGTGTGTGTGTGAGACATGGTAGTCTTTACTGTCACTTTTGATCAAATTAATGTGTCCTTGCCAAATAAAAAAAATATTTAAATAAATAAATAAATCTTACTGATCCTGAACTTTTGAACAGTAGCATAACAAATCTTTTTGCATGCTGTTGTGATGCATGTGAACATCCTAAATCTATTCTTCTGTACAGCGCAGGTAATGCTGATCATGACACAAACGGAATCACTGGATGACACAAATGTCCTTTACACACACAGATACACTCATACACACAGATTTTCGTGCACATGCTGGGCCTGATGGTTAACAGGCTGCTCAGCTGACCTTTGTGCTTGCCCTTTTTCTCCTTCTTGGCGCTGCCAGTCTGAGGAGTGGAGGTAGGCGGCTTGGTTTTTTTAGCCGAGCGAGGGGCCTGAACCTCTGCTACGGCTTTAACTTCTTCCTGTTCCGCTTCTTGTACTAAACAAGGAAGTGCAGGATGAGCCAGCAGGAGCAGAGAAGATACAGGAGCAGAGAAGAATACAAAAACAAAAAAACAAGAGGAAAATAAAGAAAAGGGTTAAAGTGAATGAGGAGAAGAAAAAGAGTTAGCAAAGACACAAAGCAGAAACAAAGCTTACGTTTTTAGCATACACACAGAAGACGGCTACAAGCACAAAAAAAAACGAAATATCCCACTGCTCCTATACACCCCTGGATGCAATTTTAAATGAAGGGGATTCGGTGGTTGTCAGAATTGTGAAATTCATTCAAAAAAATTAATTCCTTCTCACAGCCTACTTCTTTTAACTGTCCTTCAAGGCCGTGAACTGCTGTGCTTTCTTAAACAACAGATCTAGGAGGATTCATCTGAGTCTATGCACTCATGAAAGTGCATATCACTGTCGGTTTGACGTTTGTCGATAGCTACAGTACATCACTAACACTGAAAGGCATAAAGAGACGCGCCTGTCAGAATGAGAGAAAAGTGATCAATGGTTTAGTTATGGAAAGAAACCACAGAGACATTGACTTGCTATTTTTGAAAAGAGAGAGTCACGCAGAGTTAAGCAATGGAGTTACTGTTTGTTACTCATGCTTTGAGAGACTGAAGACGTCAATTCACAGGTGAGTTGTATCGTGAAAAGCACTATACAAATAAACTTGAATTGAATTGAGTAAAGGCTGCTCTGTTTAGGCTCTGTGCCTCAAATTCTGAGTTAAGACGCAATTCTACAATGAAAATGTCTCAGGTTACATATGTAACCATGGTTCCCTGAGAAGGGAACGAGACACTGCCTCCTCTAGGGGTTGCTATGGGGAACGCCTTCAGCATGATCGGTGTCTGAAGCATACATCTAAAAACGACAATAACATTGGCTGGTGACAGCCTATGACATCATTACCCTGCGCGATCACAGTATAAAAGGGTGCCGGGATAACACGTCATCCGCTTCTTCGTCTGAAGCTTGCGTCCGCAGCATGGCAAGGAAACTAGAGGACGCAGTGTCTCGTTCACCTCTCAGGGAACCATGGTTACATATGTAACCCGAGACGTTCCCTTTAGAGGGGAACAGTATACCCACGCCACCATGATGAGGGGACCTACCTGATGTCACTGCCACGGAGCTCAAGAGCAGAGGGTTCAACCCCTAGCGCTCGACCGAAGTGACCAATAGCCCAGGGTAGAGGACCTAACTCTCGAGTCAAGAGGAGGACTCACCCAGTCTGCCCAGGACCGGCGAGCTCAAAGGGACCCTCCCGCAGTGAGGGGAGCACAGCCATGCCCGGGGCAGATAGATCGCAAATGGGACATCAGAAATAGGATCCTGCTATAAGGGGATCACACATTTCTAAGGGAACAACAGGGTCCCAACATAAAGGCATCTGACCAAGGAGGTGACAGAGACAGGCCTAACACTTAGTTAGTTGTAAATGGTGTCCTTCGGGAGCAGCGCTCTCGGCTCTCAAGCTGAGGCGGGCCCTTACAGCACATACTGGGTGCGACTCATAGCTAACCCTCACAGAAAGGGGAGCACTTCTCAGCTCGACCAGAAGGGGGCACTAGATTAGAAGGGTGTAACCCAGCAGGGCCCAATAAGAGACAGTCCCCTGGTGCAGCTGGGCACGGTCTCATGCTCTCTATCTCGATAGAGAGTGTGGGTCCCGTATAACCAGACCCGATAGAATCTGAAGAAATAGCGGTACCCAATAACCATTCATGCATATAGAGCTTACTGCTCCTCAGAGCAGAAGCACAAAACAGGGGTTTCCACAGAAAGACAAATCCCTCTTACCTCAGGGAATGAAGTGTATTCCAGCCCACTCCGCAGAGGGGTGATTACTGGTTCAACCATAAGGGCAGTGTGAGAGTGAGTACCCACGGGCCCGACCGTCTATGGAGCGTTGAGCTCCTCAACGCCTCAGCGAGAGTAGCTCTAGCTCAGAGAATGTTCATGAAGGTTAAGGAATGACTCAAATCTCGGGAGAAGAGGAGGACTCACCCAGTCTGCCCAGGACCGGCGAGCTCAAAGGGACCCTCCCGCAGTGAGGGGAGCACAGCCATGCCCGGGGCAGATAGATCGCAAATGGGACATCAGAAATAGGATCCTGCTATAAGGGGATCACACATTTCTAAGGGAACAACAGGGTCCCAACATAAAGGCATCTGACCAAGGAGGTGACAGAGACAGGCCTAACACTTAGTTAGTTGTAAATGGTGTCCTTCGGGAGCAGCGCTCTCGGCTCTCAAGCTGAGGCGGGCCCTTACAGCACATACTGGGTGCGACTCATAGCTAACCCTCACAGAAAGGGGAGCACTTCTCAGCTCGACCAGAAGGGGGCACTAGATTAGAAGGGTGTAACCCAGCAGGGCCCAATAAGAGACAGTCCCCTGGTGCAGCTGGGCACGGTCTCATGCTCTCTATCTCGATAGAGAGTGTGGGTCCCGTATAACCAGACCCGATAGAATCTGAAGAAATAGCGGGACCCAATAACCATTCATGCATATAGAGCTTACTGCTCCTCAGAGCAGAAGCACAAAAGAGGGGTTTCCACAGACACACAAATTCCTCTTACCTCAGGGAACGCAGTGTAATCCAGCACACTCCACAGAGGGGTGATTATTGGTTCAACCCTAAGAGCAGTGTGACAGTGAGGACCCACGGGCCCGACCGTCTATGGAGCATTGAGCTCAGAGAACGTGCATGAAGGTTAAGGAACGATTCAAATCTTGGGAGACCTCTCAGGGTGAGAAATGAGTAGTTCGCACCTGGCCAGAGGATAGGGAGCATGTCGCGAAGCATGTACTCAGAAGAGTACTAGCCCACGAGAAGGACCCGCAGGTCCTGAGGTTGCAGCGTTATACTGGGGACCTGATGCTGGGAGGCTTCCTCAGAAGCCCAGGCTGCGTGTCCAAGCCGAAGATGAGAGTGAAACCATCACTGTAATCGGTCAACAGCAGGAGGTCCTGACTTCGCAGGTGGGTCAAACCAACCATGGCTCCCGAGCATGACTCAGGCTCATTTTATACTGTGATCGCGCAGGGTAATAACGCGACGTTTCTTTTTCTGCTTCTGTTCCAATAAAGCTCGCTACAAACACACATTAACAGGCACATGCATGTGATCTTTAGTGTGCAGTCAGTGTACATTACAGAACAGTATTTCAAAGCAGATTTGAGATTTACAGTACTTGTATGATGGTACTCTATGAAATATATAATTAAACAACAATAATGTTCGATAACTGCAACAGAATAACAAATTTATCACATGCATAGATACAGTATGAAGTATGAAGAGAATATCAATCAATGACTACACATAACGTCATCTGTTTTTTCTTTATGCATACATATGTCTGACATGAAAGAAATACTAAAATAAAATGTGGGAACAAATAACTGGCACAAAATAAATTTATTTCTGAGAGAACTGCCTCTAGTAGTTATGTGATTTTAAATCATATCTTGCCAAAAAAAAAAAGCATCTCCAAGGCATAACAAAAAGCTGCCAAAATTACTGCAGTATCACAGCAAGTATTTTTATTATTGACTGTTCTTCATTGTACATGGCGCTGCTTCTGTATTTCTGTGCATCTGCCACAGCTTATTTTAATCTTCTGAAGAGTTTATTTGCAAAAAAACATAGCTAGAGATGAGGACAAGATGCACTGCATGTTTTAACCTCTGGGATGCATTTTTCCTTTGTAATGTTTCTATATAAATAATGCAAATCTTTCAATATCAAAAACTTAACCACAGAAGGATACTGCTGTGCATGGATATGAAAAGCATCTGCAGCATGTTCTGAAAACTAGTGGTCGACTGATATTGGTTTTTTGACAGTCGATGCCGATATAAAGCCGATATAATTGTATTTATTTTATTTAATATTTTTTACATGCAGCACACAGTGAAAATGACATGAATATGACATTGGGCAAAAGCATGAAGCGCAGCATAATTTGAAATCACGAGTTTAAAGTTTGTCAATCACGTGTCTCCAATGAAGCTGAACTCTCCTCCTGTCCGCATTCAATTAGCACGGACCGACCGTCATGCAGAGTACACGTGATCGTGCAGGATACAAATGCACACTTCATAAGATCTCACAGCTGGATTCGACTAAGTTTGCAAGGTTTTTGAAATGA